AACAATTTATACAAAAACCCATGACAGAACATATTGCAATTTCATGCCCTTACATTCTACACCCTAAATTATGCCCTCCCCAAAATCGACAATTATGTTGAAAAACCATTGACATGAAAGTAAAAACCTACAGAATCACATCTCAATATCAGGACTAATTAATTAATTAATTACCAGTCATTTTGCAACGCAGAAATGAGGGCAATGTTTGAAGGTGGGAGAAGCTTGGAAATAACAACAACAAAGAAATACCCAACAAAGAAAATAGAGCCAATTAAGACAAACAACCATCCCCGCAATTTTCTCTCATCAAATGAAGCCAACCACCGCATAGAATCAGCCAACCTTTAACACAATCAAACAAATGCCTTGGAAGGGATTTTTCTGAAAAACAAAAAACAAAAAATAAAAATTAGAGCTTTGGATTATAATAACAGACTTGAGTTTAGTTCCATGGTTTATGCCAATTTGGGTTACACAAAAATTAATTAACAGAAGAAAATCACAAGAAAATCACAGTTAAGAAGAAGCATTGACAAAAGCACGCACCTTTGAAACTTGAAGGTTGTCACTTCCATGTACTAAGCAAACTACGAAACTCCTATCAATATTAAGAAGCTGCGTTCCGTATGACCGCACCTACGGATAAATATAAGAAAGGATTTGAGTTTAGAAAATTGGTCCAACGAACACAACGTTTTAACTGTTTTGTCTTTTTTTTTTTGTTTAAGTTTGATAGGCCTTCTTTTATTGGCAAAAGCATAACATACAGCCAAGTAAGCCTCGTACTTGGTATTCTATTAAGTTAAAAAAGCAGATCACAGATAAGAAAATATTCGCGGCATCATAAATAGAGCAAAAGCAAATAATTCCATATTGGGTTAAGCATCCAATTACTTTAAAACATGATTTCAGAGATAGGGATATACAATAGGTCAAAAAATGTTTCATAAAATTGAAAATACAGAGTTGATTTGCTGTTAAGATTCATACTATAAATTATAAAAGTTTTATATACAAAATACACAAATTAAAAAATAAATACGACGAGTACAGCAAACTTCTACTTATTCCCATCAATGGTTACAAACAATACAGGAAATATCAAACTATAAATCAAAAATAAGGAAAATGTACCCTCTCATGTCTCTGCAGCAAAATGTTACCTACGACAAAAATCTGGACCATTAATCAAACTTTCTCCCACATTTAATTATTGTACAATAACTAATCAATGTTTGTGATTTGGCTGAATGTTGGCTGTAGAGGATTTATATTGGAATTAAGTATTTTTTATCAATATCCTTATTATACTCACAATCAGTTAGTTCTACTTCTTGCAAAATCAAAAAAAGTGTTAGGGTTTTTCTTGTGTCAAGAAATATTGGGAAGTTGTCGAAGCTTCTAGATAGAGGGGGAGACGTTGGTCGATCAAGTGAAACGTTTAAGGAAGAGGTTATGGGCCCTCGTTATCCTCTCTGGTACGTAATCTCCTTGAGGAGGGTGTTATGTCCTTGAAATATGAAGGTGGTGATTGTCTCCTTCCTAAGTTTATTATTGCTAAATCAACTTTTGTGAAACTATGCGAACCATGAAAATAATGTCTGGTGGTGAAATTGTTGGGGAAGAACATTGGTTTCATTATTATGTGGAGCAGGTTGCAAACGCTTTGGAATGGATATATCACATGGCTATTTCATGGTGAAATTTCATCTTGGTGCCGATAAGGAGTTATAATGCAAGGAGGTTTGTGGATGCTCTTTGATCATTACTTGACTATTAGACAATGATCATCGAAGATTGTGGCATTTAAGGTAGGGGAGGATAAAACCCTTGTTTGGGTATGCTTTCCAGGGCTAGGCATAGTGTTTTATGACGAGAGTGTTCTTCTTACTATAGTCTCAACGATAGGAAGGCCTATTAAAGTCGATCTCAACACCCTAAACCCTGGACCTCTATAAATCGGTGTTAGGTAAGTTTAATCTCAACAATGTATGGTAGAAAATAGAATACAAAGGCTTACATTTACTTTGTACCATGTGTGATTGTTACGGCCATGTTGCCTGTGTGCGTGCAACTCCTTTTGCAGCGACGGAGAAGAGTACAAGGTAAGGAGACAATTACAAAGGGAGGAGGCTTGTCAACGTTGAGTGGAGATGGCAGCATTGATGAAAAGATAGAAGAAGAGTGATCATGAGATCCAAGATGTTTCGATGAATTCGCTACAACCGCATAAGGATTGATTGATTATGAAACAAAAATCACGAGAACAAAATGAAAGCAAATTATTTGCAACACAATTCATGCATGGATATGCATGGATTGGGGAAGGATAAAGATTTTGACAAGATATGAGCGAGAGGAAATATCTTAGCTATTACGAATGAGTCCCTAGCACTATCCAAAAATATGAATAATCATGTGGGGCTTGATGTCCAGATTATGTTGGCAAATAGGGTTGGGCCTAATAAAGGGGTGCATGAGGCTATGAGGAAAAAGAAGAAACGAAGTCATGCTGACATAGGCGATCCATGCATGCATGTGGGCGTGATTAACATCCAGGAGGTTAACTTGAAACCAAGGTTTACTCAGAGTATTGCTCCTTGAATTGTAGAGTTTAAGTTTGTCTTCCTCATCAAGCATGTTAAGGGTACCCAATATATGTATTAAGATGAGGATCCCTTGGAGGGGGTTCAAAGTGTGGTGTAGGATGGCAACCGAGATGATTGTAAGGGGCATCTCAAGGTTGAGGATATAACTCATGATGACATACTCTCTTGAGGAGAGCTTCTAGTTACCACTCTAAAAAGTTTCTTATGTTAGATAACCAAAATATTATTTGTTGGAATATTAGAGGCACAATGAATGTGAAAGGGAAAAGAACGTTTCGTGAGTTGGTTAAGTTGCATAAACCTTTTATTTTCATAGTGTTGGAAACCCATTGCTCATTCTCGTCAGTTACCTCATTTTGGAGCAATCTGAACTATAAGTTGCGTCATAATGTGGAGGCTAGAAACCATGCTAGAGGCATATGGATCCTAGTTGAGAAAAATAGTCAAATATCGATGGTTGAGTCATTTTTTCCCTCAAGCAGCTACAATTTAAATCAATCAAGGTTGCAAGGAGTGGACATGCACAACTATGTATGCAAGTCCTAGCTTCAGTTAGAGAACAGAGCTCTGGGATCATATTAGGAGTCTTAGAAGCCAACTAGCGGTGCCTTAGCTCGTATTAGGAGATTTCAACTAAGTCATCTCTAGCTCATAAATTCGTGGGTTTCACTTCTCTCCTTCTCATGCCTCCTAGTTGGTTTAGCTTATTTTCTAAAATTTCTATTAAGCTGTATTTTTAATTAGTTCAATTAAAAAAAAAAAATTTTTTTTATAAAGTAATTAAATTCTCAAATCATTGTATTTAGAAAAATTGTTAGCAAGTATATATTATACCATTCAAGCGATTGTTACTAACTACTCACAGCACATCACACATTGATGTATTATAACGTGAAATAATGATATTAGATTTAATTATTTTAATGTAACCAATAACATTAATTATTTTTGTTATCATTAGTATAAAAAATATTTCTTTATTATTTATTGTTAATGGACTAATTTCTTTGATATTATATATAAAGAGATTGAGAGAGAGGATTATCTATTTTTCTAAACTTTCGTTCATATTCCATTGTTTTGGATATTATTTATAAGACTCCGATGTATTTGACATTGAGTACATGAATTTGAACACATTGCCATGTAAATCTTGGAAAGCAAAT